CCAATAATTAACACTAAAAGTATTACTAATGTCTTATTAATGACAACGAAATGACGACATTTATAAATATGCAATAAGAAACAAAAATCGATAGTCGGAAAATATCGATAGTCGTAGGAAAAACATCGATAGTTTCTAATAACTGAAACTGTCGATAATAATCGATAGTGTTATCGATTTCTTCTCTAGTAGATAAACCAAGTCATTTGAAATTATGTTGGTAGTCGCTAGATGGCTACGCTACCAAGTGGTTCTCTCGCAGTAAAAGGTTGCCATAGAAGTATACATATAGAGGTGTATTTGCAAGGAAAATTTGATCGGTTTCACAGGATCATTTCTGTAGAAGCAGGTCTTTTAAATCTTGTTAGACGCGCGCACCACTCTCTTTCCAAGACGGAAATGAGAGTAACACTCCAACCACGATGAGGAGCAAAGCTTTCTTCCTTGAACGTGATGACGACGAGCTCTCTCGAGTCGTTTCGAGAACTTTGTTATCAATGATCGTTCTTCACCTCTTGTATTCATTACATGGGGCAGGGAAAGGAAGAAGCATTCTGAGTGGTTTTTATAAATTCTAAAATTAATCAAATTTGTATTTTTTCACGAGAAATTGTTTCTTGACCTTCTAACGAGGGAGAGGGTGTGTATGAATTGGAAAAATCAGGCACGTCGAATTTCACAAATAAAAACTTCTGGTCAAAGTTGCCGAATTAAACAGACTAAATATTGAGTAGTATTTTACATTAAAAAATCATAAAATTATCTATCTTTATTTTGTTTGTATTTTCGGTAGAATTATCGAGATAATATCGAAAGTATGAAATTAGAGGTGGGGGGATGGTGGTGTAGTTTGACTTTTTAAACTTGTATGTTTTAAGTAAATAGGAAAAAAAGTTGTTAGTATCTGTTATAAGTAGCTTTGAACGTGGAAGAATTTATAGCGATACAACGTTATTGCATAACGAGTTCGAGCGTGAAACGCGGAGGGGTTCGGAAAAAGCGTCATTTCGATCGTGCGCTCGAGGAATCTAGGCGGTTTTCTCTCGGGGCGAACAAAGAGCATTGCTGTGTATGTACGATCCTCGTAGCTGCGGCGCCGGTCCGTCTTACCGAAGGGAATCCGCATCGGATTGTATTCCGCATACACGCCGATTGAAATCGATATTCCTCGCAAGGTCGGGCCGCAACAAAACGAGCGGAACAATGCATCACGCGGTGTTGTACTCTCGCTCTCTCGTGCGGCGGAATAGCAGGTAAGACTGCTCGCGATTTAATACACTCCGCGATCTCGTGTACCGCGGCGCGCGTATATTGTTGCTCTTCGCCGAGTCCTTTCGCCGGGTAGCATGGAAAACGTCGGGACGTCCTTTGCGCAGTATCGGTCGTCGGGAGGTGGCAAGAGAATCCCTTGGAAAAATCCCTTGAAAAGCAAGTTTCCGTTCGCAATTCGATACGGTAGAACAATGAGACGTAATGACGAGGCGTAGCCCGGTGGGAAGCGAGGAAAGAAGTGATCTTAAGGAGGTAGTGGCGCAAGTAGAGACAGCGAAAGTCAGGTGCCGTGTAGTCGGACGCGCTATCGTGTCGCTATCGTATGGAAAGGAGGCTCCGGTGCGGACCCAAATCAGTTGGATATATCAGCACCGATATTGCACGGCAGTAATTCATTAGCATGATTGTCTGGGTGGAGCAGCGAAGCGGCGAAGTTTCTTTCCACCTCGACATTACCTCGTCGCTTTGTCTTACGCTCTCGTACGATGCGGTTCCTTCCTCTTCCTTTTTTCCTTCATCGGAAAGAAGAAGCAGCCGATGTCGAGGTTCTACCTCCCGCGCCTCGTTTTGAGAGGAGGTCCCGCGCGCATGGCCCAACAAATTTCCCTCCTTCCGCACCAACTCTCGCCCCTTTTTTTCTCCCCTCGCTTCCCTCCCGAGTTAGCGACGTGCCCGGCGCGCCGCTCGAGCCTCGAGAAGAGCGCATTCGCCGCTTCAAGGTGGCAACAGTGTTGGCGGGAAAGTTATTCGACCGCTTGCCACTAAATCATTCCTCGCGGACTCCTGCTTTATTATCCTCCGTCCTGCCTCTACCCGTGGCAACGACGTTGGCTTTTTATCTCTCTCTCTCTCTCTCTCTCACCTTCCTCACCTCCTTTCGCGATGGCCGGCGCGCCTCTTCCTTTCGAAGCCCTTCTGTTCGTAGGTCGGATAGATGCGTTAACTATGCTGGAAAAATCGCGATGGATATTATAACACGCGAGGATGTTGTTGCAAATTAGGCTTCTATTATGGTAATTCTCACACGCACTCGAGAATAGCGGTCTTAAATCGGCTGCGAAGCGCTTTGAAGATATTAATAAGCAGCCGGTTTATTAAGCGCGCACGGAGCGTATTATGGAAGAGACGCGAGTGTCGTAACTTTTTTTTTTTTTTTTATAATTCTCTCGCGTGCTTCTCCACGATCGGCCGATAAATACCGATAAAATACACAGGTGTAGCGGCTAATACAACATAATACGTCCGCGCTATAATTTCGTTGTTTCTCATTATAAGCGCTCGTTCCGTTCGGCGCTATCAGATCGGCCGAGGTAATGACAAACGCGGACGAGAATACGCGCCGATTTATCGGCTTTCAGGAGCCCTATTCTAGTCCGCCTATGCGATCCGTTAGCGCGCGCGATCCGCCTACGTGGAAAGGAATATTTTCTCCGCGCGAACCGCCCCGACCTCCTTAATTGTAGCTCAAGATTGCAATCTTGTTCTTTCGACGCGCCCTCCCTACGATTCTCACGACTCGTACATTGTTTCCGAGTAGAGAATATTATTGCCTGGCAGATAGCAAATTTAATTTCTTCCCGCGCGTTCTTACCTCCCCTCATTCAAAACCGTCATCAGGCATGCAATTAATCGCGAAAAGCTCTGCGAAGAAAAAAAATATCGCAGCTCCGTGCGGTGAGGGAAAAAGGGGGGGAACATGCGGCGGCGCGCCGGTTGGAGAGGATTACTCCGCTCGCGAGTTTCTGTAACCGCTTAATTCAGCGGTGAAATGTAGCCACGTTCCTCCGCGAGGAGATAAACGCGCGAGAGTGACTCGCGTTAATTATCATTACCGTTATAGTTTCGCGAGCGATCGGACGCGCGCGACAAACGGCGTCTTATCGCGACAAATCAAGCGGCCGCGTCGTAACGAAGTAATCGATCATCGGCTCGCGCGATCAGGCCGCGCGATTCCACGTTCCCGTTCAACATGGGCGGAACAGTTCCCTCCCGAGTACTCTCGGATCACGGCTAGATGGCCGGCGCGATACCTCGAACGCGAGAAGAAACTTTAAACTGTCATTAAGGCAACTCTGGCTGGGTTAAGGGGTTCATTACCGGTCGGGACTCGCGTCTCAGTTTCTTCTGCGTCGAGAGTTTCCGACGACTGGCGCACGAGACGACTACCACTACACCCTGCAAATTACGTCCCGTGCCGTGGTAAATTTACGAGTGCCTACCCTCCCTGTCTCGTTTTCTCTCCCTTCCCGTCGCCTTAATCCGCGCTCGACCGATTGCGCCGGCAATTACCGGATCGGCCGATCGATCGTAATCTGTCGATCGGGTAGCGCATTACCGAGACTCGTTGTGCCGGAGCGCCCGGCGCAAAAATTAGAAATCGCTCGCGCCCTGTGTCCCGGCCAGGTGTGATAAATCGCGGAACGTTATCGCGTCGCCCCGAGGAAAGTACTATTTAAACCTGCGATTCACACACGCAGGAGTCCTATCGGAGTATTCGCGCCGATGGGCGGCAGCTGGTTCGTCAACGTTAATCATTATCTTCACGCCGGACCCACTCTCGACTCGCTTTTCTTTCAGCACAGAATTCAGCAGCGTACTCGAGCAGTGTGTACGCGCAATTACAGAGCGAAAGTTTCATTTAACTGTGCAATTCGGTCGCGCCTTCGCGTGAGAAACAAGGGTGGAGACGAGGACAAGTCCGACGGTGAAAATAGTCCTCGGACGGAGAGACGTCTCGCGAGGCGTCTCGCGAGGCGGGGAAAAAATGGGGAGGCATTTCCGTTAACGACCGTCGACGAAATCTCGTAACTTGTATTACATCGGGGCCACGGGGGTGGGTGGGTGGCCATGAATCGTCGCATAAATCACAGGCGCTGGGAGCACCGAGGCGTCCATCACCGCCCCCACGTCCGTCCGTCGCGGTAACGTCTTCGGGTCCTCCTCCGGGGGAGGGCAAGGAAAGGCTCGCCTTGCAAATTAGTCACTGGGCCCAGATTACGAATGGACCACCTCCCCGGCGATCCGCGGGTATCCCGTTTCAGGAACGCCGGGCGAAATTAAACAAAGTGCTTCGCCCGGGTGGATTCCGCCTTCGGGGAGGCGCGACGACATCGCGCCCTTCGTCATCCGCGTGTCGTTTTATTGCGGCGCAAAAAGAAAGCGGGGGACAGACAAATGGAATCGATAAATTTCAACGGCCGGTTAATCCATCGCGGCACCGCGGGACAAACTTCCAGGGAGATCGCTCGAGCCACCGGACTTGACTTGGTTTTTCGTCGCGTTGCCATTCGCTCGCGTTGCTTATTTATATCGGCGGCCGCGTCGCGATACATTCTAGCGTGTTAGATTGTTTATTTCGCTCGTGAGTGCTCTCCCCAGCGATACTCTCTCGACGATCCTACGATAACAGCTCGGTCCACTTACCATTCTACGGCCGCAATTATCATAATTATGAAAATCATTTGCATCTCTCGAGTGCACGCTCGGAGATTCGATCGTCAGGACGAAGGACGCGCGAAGAGTAAGGAACCGCATTCCACGATGTGTGAGCCACGGTGTGCGCCCCGATGCTCTTTTTTAAAATCGCGCCGCTTAATGAATCGGAGATACGCCGCGTGTGGAATTGGTTTCGCGGGACTCGCGCGAAACGCGCCTCTCGATCGCGCCCGTGCATCGAGCCACTCTGTTTTATTGCCGCGCGCGCTGACCTTGATTTATCTTTGTTGCAGGTGCAAGCCACCGATCCCGATTGCGGCGTAAACGCGATGGTCAATTATACCTTGGGCAGCGACGGGCTGGTGAGCGAGCAGCTCCTGGTGCGCAGCGAAACAGGCGAGATCTGCGTCCGGTCACCGCTGGACAGGGAAGTTGCGCCTTACTTGGAGCTACCCGTCATCGCCACCGACAGAGGTACGTGTCACTTTTGTCTTTGTCGCGCGACTATCGCCACCGCGATTCACTTGGAACATTTTCTCCAAATAGTCCATGTTGTATTTTTTTATATGCACGGAAGAAACAACTCCGTTAGTGCAATTGAACTTTCTGTTGACCGAAGACCAAACGAAAAATTCGGCCGTAAGAACAGAAAGATTTCTATAAGAGTTTTCTGCTCGATTAATTCCCTCTCAACTGAGAGAACTCCAAGAGTCCAGCATTACGCGTTTAAACGAGATAACGTTTAAACGTGTATTTAGTATATACATTTACAAATAGGTGTAATAAAATAATCATGCCTTTGAAAACGTGCGTCCGTTTATTAACTTTGAATCCGTTTATTCGTTTATCTGTTTGTACGAAAAAAGGGGAATGTTAGTCTCGTTGCCCTTTTTTTATTACGGAAGTTTCAACGAAATAAAAACAATCATCTTACACGTAACTTGAAAACATTTTGCAGATTTAATAGAAAAGAATAGCAGAAATCGTTTGAACGATCAAACGTTTAGTTATACCGTAACGGTTTCCACCGAGCGTTTCTAACCGAATATACGCTAAACGTTTAACGTTATAATAACTGAGAAATTTGCTATGCCGGCAAAGCATTTTTTTCTGTGTAAACCAAAGTGTACCGTGACTTCATAAGGACAATAATTCCAATCGTATCGCTTTTTTTTGTTCTCTTTACCTCGCGTATCCCGCTTCTGAACGCTCAACGACGCCCGCTGCAATTTGAGATATCCGCGCGCGACGATTCGGTCGGATTGCGAAATCTCTCTCGTAGGATCGCGACCTCCCACCTCGGATGTAAGAACAATGCCCGTTGTTGCTATTCGCAGCCCCGTGCGAGGCCCGGTGTGCGCGCACACACGGCGTCGATAAAGGGGACGAGACAAGTAGAAACGAGTGGAAACGCCGGGCGCGGAGACACGCGCGCAGAAACGCGGCTCGGAAACGGGAAGAAGAACGAGGTAGAAGTGGCGCGTCGTCGCGACGGCGGCAGAGAGAGGGGGAGAGAGAGAAAGAGGAGGAAGAAGAGGTGGCCCGTTGGCAATCGGCCCGTCGAGATCTAGTAGCTCTGTAATAGGGTGTATGATTTATGTCGCCGGTGGGTTCGCGGCCATTTTCAACGCGGCGGCGCGGACGCCTTATGGGAAAGGACAATGACTGAATGTCCATTGATCCATCGCGGGGCGGTCGGCTGGGCTACCGTGCTGCCGGCGGTCATTGCGTTCGCCGATCGCGTCGCGTCTCACGGAGGTGTGTTTCACAGCGCGCGCGGCGCTTCGAGGAGGAAGGTGAGAAGGAGGCAGGATAGTATCCGAGGGAGAAAGTCCCACCGCCGGCGGTGGTAGACGGCGGTGGAAAAGCCGACGACGAGGATCGGGGGCAGTGCGAGGCTATTGTTGGCACCATTGGCTGCTTTGCAAACAGGCGCGAACGCGTTCCGTAATTGTCGCTCGTTATCGATACGATTGTATCCCGCGCGCACCGGCAGCACCGACGACACACACCGAGAGATACAATAGAATCGGCCGGATATGACGGCCGCGTTGTGATTTATACCACTTGCTGACGAGCGCGACGAGCGGCCCTCGAACGCGGCGGCGAGGTACCTCGGCGCACCGCGCCGATTCCTTACGCAAATAAGAGCTCGAAAATATATGCATTATTATAACAGAGTTGCATAAATCTCCGGCAGCCGTGCGGGAGACAGAGCGTTGAGCGTGTACAGAGGCTCGCTCGAAGGTATCCAACGGCGGTTGTAAGGTTAAAGTAATCCAATGTAGAGGAGAAGGTAGTGTTACAGCCCCTTTTAATATCTCCGCTATTAGGTGGCGAATTCTAGTGATTATTTATGGAATTATTTAGCAGCCCGTCGTTACGTAGTGGCACTAACGTGCCGATACACGATAGCCCCGGCATTTGTTATAAAGTATTTTTACTTTCGAGCACTTCGAGACGTTTTCAAGGTGCATTTTAGCATTTAATTATACGTACTTCCTCATTCTTCTTAAACTTGAACGTATTGTCACGTATGTACATATATTTGAATGTTTTGTTCGTTATTTATTATAACATTTCATTCGGTTGTACACATTTCGAGTTATGTAAATGTGAACAATAACATGGCATTTTACTAATGCGGCTCCCTAAGAGTGCTGATAATACGATTTCTTTTCCAATAGTTATTCGATAAATCGATTTTAATCTATAGTTCACTGCTGCATTTCTATCTGCACCGCACTGCTGGCAGATTGTAGTTTCTGACAAGTAAGGTCGGTATTTGCATTAAAAATTCACGGTTATGTTCACTGTTATTCCTTCTAAAAATTTCTTTTGAATACACGTATAATTTTGCAACAAAACACTTTGCGTTATTTTAAACCAAACCAATTTTCTAAATCTATTTTAGTTGAAGGCCACATTAACATCCCTATTTTTCTTCAATCCGTCATGCAGCGTCGCCACAGTTTTATAAATAATATCTGTGTAATAAATATCTCATAACTTCTGGTCTAGAAACGATTGAACAACACTTTGACAAATGTAATCGTCCAGTTTTCAATTTAAAATATTGATTGCTGACAAAGTTATTGCACAAAATGTAAATGGAGGCCCATAATCAACTTCTCCTCTACTTAACACTGGACATTTTTTTCTTTTAGTACTTAAATACGAATATTCAAACTTTCAACATAGAACACACATCCATATATTGAATATATACAAATATGTTTAATTTAATGAATTAAACATTCGCATTTGAAGAACGAAACGACAGGAATATTTGCGTGCCTAGGCATTGGTAGTACTTTTACCTTACTCGTCAGTCGAGCTGAAGCGTCTCGCTACGCGTGCGTTTCGCGGATGTATTCGCGGTGGCTGAATAATTTTTGCCCTTTCCCGGAGGATATATCAAGCCCTTTTTCAGGATAACTCCGGTTAGATTTGTAACAAGGCTGCGTCCGTGCGCGCGCGCGCGCCGCTCTCGCGGTATGCGGTTGCAAGGTGCGAGATCAAATGGGGAGTATACATCTTCCGATAACTATCGTTCGAGTGTTACCAACGATAACCCCGCGGCCGGCGATTTGTCGCGCTAATGACCGTGAATTATTCGTGCGAATAGCTCAGCGCGGAACCGTACTCGCTGGAACGAACGGGTGGCGAAAACGGGCGACGATGGGGTCCGCCGGTATGCACTGTGCGCGTTGAAATGCAGGTGAAATTTATATTTGATAAGAAATCGGGAGGAGGAGAGCGACATCGCACCGTCGTCGGCGGCGAGATCGCCGCCGACGATAGAAAAGTCCTCCCCGTCTTCTCTAACGAAGCGCGTTGCCACTGGCACACCGCGGTATATTACATCTCAATCAAAGTCCGGCGGCGCGGAAATGATTACAAATACCTTCCGGCGATTTGCACGTCCTCGCGCGCGTCTAAAACTTCCTCGTAGCGGCGCGCCGGCTCATTAATCCTCCTCCTTGCCTCTTATTTTTACACCGGCGATTAATTCTTCTTATTGCCTACCTGTAATTCGCACGGAGAAAATCATTTTGGCCGCGACGGCAGTAAAGCGAATCGCGAGCCACCGTGAACCACGCGGCGGGCCAGGTGTGCATGATTTATACCACCGGCTGACGTCCGCGGACGACGGAGAGAGAGCTGCCTCCGTCCTGCCCCTCGCGCCGCGCCGCTACGAGCAACTGCGAAGGGCAACGTATTCGTCGTTTCGATATTTATCGGCGGGAAATAACGCCCGGCGATAACCGAACCTCGCCGCGTTCTGTCCGCGCTAATAGCGCTGGATAACGCGCGCGATAATTATTACCTACGAGCTCTACGGATCGAACCCGCGCGGCTCAGACAGTCACTTCGCCCGGGCGCGAGTGGACGCGAGGCGCCGGCCCCTCGAGAAGAGGGATGAGCGAAGGGGGTAACGCTCGGATAACTCGATGGATAATCAATTTCAAGCGATACCCCGTTGATTGTTCTCGCCAGCTGGGGAGAACGCGGCGTACGTGGGAAATGCGGGAGAGAGCAATTATCACCGATTAATTTCATTTCGCGAAATTTGGAAAAGGGGAACATAAGTAACGTCGTGAGCCCGCGATACGTGATCACCCCGCCCGCGAAGAGCATTCGATGCATTCACGATGCGATGTCAGCGATATTACGACGTGTGTTTCGCGAACTGGATCTTCTGCCAGCGAGAGCGGCCTTTAAACCGGAGAAGGGGGAAGGAATTTTCAGCCGTTGCCGGCTTCGATTACACGCGAGCACCCGATATCTTAATGTAATTTCTACGCTAATCCTTCCCGGTGTGTAATCTTTCCTTTCTCTCCCTCTCTCCGCTTACAGTTTCCGCGGGGGGGGACATCCTATTTCCCCCCGCCAACGGGATAGATCTTATCGCGAATCTTCGATTTATCGCCACGCGTTGACGGCAAGAAATCGGCGGTGAGATGTTGTGTTTTTCGCGCGAAATTATTCACGCGTACACGCAGGTACGGAAACGGTAAAGGAAGGCGCGTCCGACTGGCCCGCGCTGGCGCGCTTCGGAACTACGCCGGAGGTGACTTTATTGGCACCGGCGTCGTAAATCACCGGGGGCTTAACTCCCACCGACTGTCATTGTCCGCGCCGTTTTCGCGCTTATTTATTTCCCTTTCTCGGCCCCGCGTGATACCGCGCATAATCTCGGATATGTCACCGCGGCGGAGCTTTCGGTTCGCACATTGTAGCGGAACTCCGGAATCAGCGTGAGCATTTGCGCGCGCGCGGCATATTAATGGAACCGCTCGTTTCGCCCGCGAGTGAAAAAGAGAGAATTACGGGTTTACGCCGAGAGACAAGTGCTCTTGCCGCCTGACTCGGCGCGAATGATTCACGGTAATACTGTTTTTCGACCTTGCACCGGTTGCAAAAGTCCCGCCGGGATTAAGGTGAGATCTTAGGTGAGTCGCGCGGGATTCACGCGGTGCGATTATCAGGCGAAATTATATTCCCTCGCAAATCTCAGCGCGCGCGCACAATCCCATAGGGTATCTCGTGGAATTCAGCTTTCGCAGCGGTAATTTCACTACGAGGTTGAGCACCGCCGTACCTACCGGCCGCATAAATCTCTCTCTCTCTCTTTCTCTCTCTCGGAACCCTCGTATCCCCCCCGCCGCACGAATCTCGAAAAGGACTCATCCCGGCGATCGACCGCGTGAAATTAAAAGGGCCAGACTGCCAAGCACAAAATATCAGGCCGCACATTAAAATGCCGTTGAACTATCCCCAGGAAGTCGGCATAATCCGTATCCCGTGCGCGTACCCGGAGCGCGTTCTTCGTCTTCCATATCGAACACGAAGAGCGTCTAATCGATTTTTCAACCGGTGTAAACGGGAAAGAAAAAAAGAAAAATCAGTCAGAGAGAGAGAGAGAGAGTGAGTGAGTGAGTGCATTAATTCTAGCTCTACAGCTTCGTGTTCTAAGAGCTTTTAAAAAAAGGAACGTACATCACGAGATGGAGAAATGATACAGTTGTGTAGAGTAAAAGTAAGAATAAAGACGAGAACAAAAATAAAAAGACGAGAGATAGATAGATTTCAATATTTATTATGCGCTCCGGGACATAATCCCGTAAAGCGCAGAACGCAGTATATAATAAGTTTGTGACATTAACATAACTATTTGCGCCTAATAATGAACTTACAAAAAAAGAAAAGAATATGATACGTAAGCACGTACGAGCAACGTAAAAACACACGTATTATAAGAATTTCTGTTTAAAAAATTAGAGAATACTTCCGTCATGATTTCTCCCACAATATAATATGTTTTGCGTATAACATCAAAGGCAGCAGATGTGTCAGATTAGTGCCTGAAAACCTAATCAGCATCAACCAATCCAACGTTAAAAGACTATAGGTATATTCATATAACCAGAGAAGGAGAGAGAGAGAAAGAGAGAGGAGAAAAAGGAGAAATGTAATAAGCGCGATATGATCTATGGAGAGCCGTGTGGTCGTGTCGACAATTAAGAACTAAGAATTGATCATCATTAGGAGCACGACAAGCTTTTTCAATAAGTTTCGAGGAGCGAACGCTCGACGAAGTGTCCGTAGGTCGTCGAGATCGGTGCCCCGATATCTCGATGTTCGTCGCCACGGTGTCCGGCGTACGAAAGGCCACTTCGTCCATCCTTCGCGCACCGGAGAGGGGGCTACGGCGGTGGCACAGGGGGGCCGGGGGCGGAGCAGCCCCCTTGACGCATGACTCCAATGACACTCGCACCTATAAATCTCCTCGCGCTCGGAGCTCCGCGCGGCCGAGTCCATACATTACTATGAGTTACGGTTGTAAACCGTTTAAACATCGGATTACCCGTTTTACATACTGTCTCTGATATTAACACTTGCGTCGCGCTTCGTCTAAATCTGTGCCGGCAAGCCGGGAGCGCTCGCCCGGCCCGTCCTGTCACGGCTGATTCTCCACCGCGCGATCGCCGGCATTACTCTCTTCTAGAATTGCCCACGTATCCGAGGGGATAGTCGCCCCTCCCTCGGTTAATCTCTGATTAATTTCAAACGCGGGACATACAACATAGTTTGGCTTCGCCTTTGACAAAGTGGGACCGGCCCTTGCCTCTCTGTATCGTCGCCGGGGTAAACTTACCGCTGCTCGCAGGGCAAACACATTTAACGCCGCGCCGTAGAACACGAAGACAGATCGAAGTCCGCGAGGGAGCAGAGCGATAATCGCGTGGTCGCGTGGTCTTTTCCGAGCGGAACGCAGTAATCATCATCGATCGTACTTACCGGGCTCGCGCGCGCATCCCGCCGGACGATCGATCCTGTCAGCAGCGCGATTACTCGCGAGAAGTCTTGTTGCCCAAAAGAGCACGGCCGTTAAGACACTGCGAGAATGCGGTGCCGTTTGGGGACCCTGGAAAGCTTCTCGCGTTTGAAATATTACTACGAGCGGCGCATTACCCCGCGCGCGGGTAAGAAGAGCCCGCGTCGGCGAGCACACGTGCTCTCGCGTGTGAGCTCGAATAAAACTCTTCCAAGGTGGTGAGAAAGAGAGAGGGGGAGAAGAAGAGCGGGATACCGAGCGAGCGTGAAAGAAAAAAGAAAAGGGAAAAAGAAGGGCACACAAGAGGAAGGGAGGAAACGAGACGGGACGAAAAACCGGGGAAAGAGAGAGAGAGAGAGAGAAGGACCAACGGCTGATTGGGTCCGAGAGAAGGCCGCGGTACGGGACACTTGTGATTTATGTCGACCGGCTTCGGGCGCGTCCCCGTAGATTCGTTCTCTACGTCGGCTAATACCTCGACATTATTTGGCTCGATAAGAGGATTTCGACCGGGAGTGAAATAAACATAATCGCTCCGGCGCGCACTTCTCACCTCCGTGTGAGACGCGCGCGCGTCTCCAGCGGATCGCTAGTGTGATCGGGCGGACTCGCGGGCGAGCCCGAATTCTGACGATTATCCGCTGAACGAAATGTCGAACGTGCTGGCAAACCGTGGATAAAAGCGGTCAACAGTACATACTCGATGCAACTCCCCGAGTCGAGATTTCACTTCTATATTGAGTTTATTTAGTTCTACATTGAGCCTTCAAAGGTCTTGGGGTCGAGATTTCACTTCTATATTGAGTTTATTTAGTTCTACATTGAGCCTTCAAAGGTTCATCGTACTCCTTACGTGATGTTATAAATCGGAAGTTATTTCCGATTTCTCCACGTGAAGACTCAATGAAGAACTGAAATTTCAACCCAGGCCGCTTGAAAATATTCGCTCGATCTCACACCGTCCGATTTATCGTGCGATTACGTAATGAAAAATGTTTGTCTTGTTCGCAGGTGGGTTGAGCACGATAGCGATCGTGCGCATCCAGGTGACGGACGTGAACGACAACCGGCCGATCTTCAAGCCGCGGAAGTACAACGTGACCCTGAAGAACGACAACGCGGTGCGCGGTCCGATCCTGAAGCTGGTGGCGACCGACCTCGACGCCGGTGCCTTCGGCCAGGTCGCTTATCGCATCAGCAGCGGCAACGAAGCCACGGTATTTCGCATCGATAGCAATACCGGCGAGCTGCACGTGGCGAGGCCGAATCTGCTGTCCACGTCGTTGTTGCATCAGCTGAACGTGACGGCGACAGATGCGGCCGGTCTGAGTAGCATCGTCGACGCCGAGGTCAAGGTCACCGTTTCCACCGCCGGCCACAGGATCGCCACCTGCGGGAATCCGCGCTATACCATCACCGTTAAGGAGAGTATCCCGCAGAATACCGTCCTCGACGGCGTGAAGGATACCGCGACGCCGTCGTCCCCCTCGACAGGTACGTCAATTCGCTTTTGTGCGCGTCTTTTCATTGGCCGTTGCGTCTCGCAACGCCGTCATCTCTCGTCGGACGCGTGCCGAAGAATCACTATGACTCGATGAATAACCGAGACTTTTCTAACCGCCCGCGCAATAATTCTACATTTACAGCGAGAAAAAGTATCTGAAAGATAAAAAAATATTTATCCGATGGTAACAATAACCGAATTACTTCACTGATATACATATTTCTACATCGAGAAAACAATTTCTTCCGAAGCTCTGTGAAAGCAATCTTTTATTCTATTTATTTAAATAAAGGAGTTTAAGTTTTTAAATAAATATATTATTAGTACCACCGAATAAATATTTTTTATTTTTCAAATATTTTCCCTCCCGGTGTAGAAATTCACCGGTGGGTCGGGTCATCGATACTTCTCCTCGACGAGCCTCTTTCGCGCGTTGAATCGCTGAGATACATTGCGTACTTTTTTTTTCTCGCTCCTCAGAGGTCGAGTTCAGAGCTCGAACCCGCGGCTTCTTCTCGCACGCCGTCACGATAACACGACGGCCGGTCATCCTCGCGCGATGCGAGGGAACTCGCGCGTCCGAGTTAATCGGCTGGCTTTTAGCACGAGGGTACGACATCCTCGAGCGGCCGGGCTAGAGAACGCTTCGAAAACGTATTCCACGCGCGGCGCTACCGCGTTAGCATAGTCGCGTCACGAGTAAAACGCCGAGGACTCCGCAAACGCCCACGTATATACGTACACGTGAGCGTACGTTCAGGCACGACGCGCGGGGCCCTAAAAGCTGAAGCGCATCACGAATGAAGATATCCGCTCCGCCTTTTCCTCTTTATACGAGATCGGCGTGGTGCATTCTGATCGTTGCGCGACTGGACGTCGTCCCGTGCACGTTTCGTATCCCACGTATTCGCACGCTATTTCGAGGTACGCGTAACGTTCCACGCCGAATAACGCAGCGATAACTACAATCGAACTGCACGGGTCGAAGAGAGGAAACTGCACAAAATACCGCCGAGTCGAGCGTGTAGAAATCCTCTCTTCTTCTCTCACGAATTCAGTGGAAGGTAGGTTAGCGGGCAAAGCCGCGTCGCGGCCGGCCCAAACAGGTGGTCATCGAAAGCGAGGAAGGAGGCAGAAATAGGATTCGCGCAGCGGGAGGGGGGTAGCACGAGGAGGAGGTGGAGACGAGGGAGATTGAGCTCCGGTAAGGTCGCGGACGGGTGGGTGGATTGCTCCGTGCCGATATACCGGGACACGGGGGTAGAGGGCGCGGGAGGGAGGGGGAAGAGGAGAGGCACGTATCCGTGTTTCCACACTGGTGGTACATCCGATGCAAGATACGGCGCGTCACGACCCGCGCTCACCGCGCCGTATACCCGATGCACCGTGTAAACTGTCCCGCGCGGTATCGAGCGGCACGGCGCGGTACGTTATAGGCCCGAGGATGCCGGATAGTTTACACGGTGGTGCCTTACCGGTGGTCGTATTGTTCGCCCGGCATGGCCCGCATATGCAGCCTGTTGCATATCAATGCGCGAGGCCCGAGTGTGTACCTCCTTCTTCGCCGAGCGACGACGTGGATCTTTCCCTCTCTCGCTTTCTCCGTTCCTCTTTCACCTTCTCCGTCTCCTTCTCTCTCTCCTATTCTTCTTCAGCCTCCCTCCCTTCCCGGTCGGTCCTCCTCGGCTCGCTCGCTCCCTCGGTGCACATCGGCTACGAGTCGAAACGAGGGAAAGGGAGGACCCGTGGACGTAAGCTGTGCGCTATCTGGGGTTAAAAAATATCCTGACCCCGTGCGCGACGCACGGCCCCGATTCACGGTAGATTCCCGCAGTCCTCGTCGTCTTGGTACGTCTCCCTCGTAGGAACGTCCGGCCGCGATCTACCGCACCAGGAAACGCGTTTCTCGGATTCCACACGCTCGTCCCGCAGCGGCGATGCGCGCAGATAAATCGTAATTATGATGTGACCGATGTGTGGCGCGCGTTTGAGTTTCGAGACCGCGCGGTATGATCACGGAATTCCAAACCTTCCAAATCGTTTCCACGGTATTAACTCTCTTGACTTCGCATTCTTACGCTGTCGCCGATGTCGATGCCGGTTGAGAGTCATATCCACGCGGCGCGCATCCTAAGAGGCGCGGAAACAAGACGTAATAAAGCGCGAGGTGCCCTTCACATGACGCGGAACAACCGTCTCGCGTCGCGCATTCAAAGTTGTCCTTCCGGCATCGGCGCAATCGGCCGGTCGGTTTCAGAACCCGACTTCCAATCGGCCACGCGTCCGGCCGAGAACCAGTTCGCGCAGAAGAACGCAGCCTGACACTCAGGCCCGCAATATTTGACACACGGCAGCCAATCAGATTATCAGATTAAAGTTGAACGGGCCGGCGATCGTCGGCACAGGTGCGGTTCGACCTGGCTGTACGAGGAAGAGAGAAAGAGAGAGAGAGGGAGAAAGAGGAGAATTTCGCGAGCGCGCATTGACGTGCACCGACGGTCCGTGCTTCGCGACACCTGTTCCAATAAACTTGAGCGGATCCCGATGAAGCACGACGAGCGAACTCTCCGTCTCACATTTCGGTTAGATCAATTACGTCGATCGATCGGTTCCTTACCGAAGAAGCATCTCGGATAGCTGCGACGAAATATTAGCGGTACAATTTGCAATTTTAATTAACACGGCCTCCACAATATTCACTCGTCGAGCGCTTCGAGAAATATCCTTCGCGACTTGGTGCGAGTTTTGTCGAATCCGACTCCCACGGTGGAAGTTCGTTCGAATCATCATTGCGAAGATCGGTCGCGCGGTCATCCCACGACTCACGGAAGGACCCGTCGTTCCATTATACAAATTAACTCGAAAGTGACCAGCGTGCGTTTCACTTTTGCACGACGCCACACTCGTGCGACCGGCCAATCAGATTATCAGATCGAGCCGAACGTTGACATAAGCGAACATCGGGCCGAGACGGCTACCACTTTACGACCACCTGTTCCGATAAAGCAGACCTTGCGCGAGCTCTCCGCGAATCGCGAAAAATCGCGATCGTTAAGAAGCCCCACGGACGAAAGAGCGATCGTTTCGACGATGCTCTTCGGAGCTGTTAAAACCGACGTAGACGAACTCCTTATTGGGAAGTAGTCGTTTGGTTTGCGGACAGCCGGCTGCCCGAACCTTCCATAAAACCCGGCGACAAAGTGAGGAACGCGCTTCATTTTACGGCCGAGTTTATGGCACCTGAGGAAGAATCATCGCGGCGCGATCGCGTCGACTAGAGAAAGACCGGTCTTATCTTATCCGCGGAACGAGCGGCCGCTCCCAGCCTTCCCGATCCGTCGAGGGAGGAAGAGAGTATCCCAGAAATCGTGACGTCGCGGATCCGAAGCTTACGGTCGGAAATACAGACGGAGCGCCGTGATCGGGGGGAATGAGAATGACCGATCATCGGGATCGAGTTGCTTTACGTGCTCACCTGACTTCGCTGGCCCGAAGATCGGCTGTCGGAATGCATGCATAGAAAGTGCGACGGTGATCGATACGTGGTCCGTCGATAGAAAGTACGACGGACCGGCGACATTGGGACGGATCGTGTTAGAAATCTCTCTCGATGATGTGAACGCGCGACCGAGCAGTCAATCGGTCGGTAGTTTGCTGCTCTCGTGCCGCGAAACGCGCGGAACAACATGACCGTTGTTGAACAGCAGTTTCGCAGCACGCGGAAGAGGCGATAACGACGGTAACAAGCGTCTTCGTTAGAGGGTTAAGGCGCAATCGGCAACCGCTGATCAGAAAGTTGCACCGCTCTTTCGCGCGCGAGCGTGAACTTTCTTCCTCCGTTCGATTATGCACCTCGGTGATTCGCGGGGAAAATCCCGCGGACTGACGAGCGAGTGCGTTGCATGCGTACGAGACGCGCAGCATCGGCTAGTGTCGGTCCGATGTCTTCTACAAGGGGTTCGTCGCGCGTGAAATATTATCCAGTGACGTTAATCGAGCAACTGAAAGCTTAAAGGTCGCTCGTTGGTCTACGGTCGTTTAACCTTCGAACAACCAAGGTTCATGCAGTCACACGTATAACAAGGAGGATCAGATCCGACTGGTAGAAGCACTTTCACAACTAATTCTTCCGACTCGGAGCTTTTGATTCTTACAACTTGCGTAAAAGTCAAGGGAATACATCGCGAAATATGTAAAATATTTGAGATATAACGCTTCACGTGCGCGGAAGAACACGCATCCGGTCGGAGCCAATCTTGTTATTCGAGGGTTAATTTAAACGGCCGATAATTAGAACGGGCAACGTTGTGAATTCTGAGGTGATCTCACGGGCACTCTGGGACCGAGTATTTCGTGCTTTTCGGGGCCTGGCATTCTTGTCGAAAGAATGCGCTTCACGAGTGCCGGCCGGCGAGACACGGGGCGAACGAAGAGATCGGAACGGGCAGGACGAAAGAGAAGGATACGAAGGAGGAGGATGAGGAGAATGAGGAGGAAGAAGAGGAGGAGGAGGACCGTCGTCGTCGCCGAGGTCGCATAAATCGTCGTGAGTCGGATTCCGGGCAGCCGAACGCAAGCCGCCATTGTCCGAGACTTTTTGCCCCTCTCTCCCTACCATGAGGGCTGCCGCTACGGAGCTGCACTCTTTGCATATGCTTTAAATATCGCCGCTCCGCGCGCTCGCTTTGAGGGCTCCCAGCACCACGTCCTCTCCTCTCCTCTCCGCTGCGCGAAGAAAAGACAGCGGCGGAGGGCGCGGGAGGGTGGGAGTAGGAGGAATGAGAGATGAGGAACGTCGAGAGAGGAACCCAAAGTTCGCTGACTGTCGACTCCTCTCTCTCTCTCTCTCGTTGCAATCGGCGGAACGCATTAGACGCATCGCGCCCTGCGACTTTTATCCTCCTTCATTCCTCTTTCCCTCCTTACGACGGACGGTGTCGGGTGAGTTTTATTTTGCAGGCATCGTGGAAAAGAAGATACAAGAAAAAGA